AAGCCAGGCAGTCGGGATGCACCAACCGACGCCAACTTCGAAGTGAGGGTTTCCCTCTCTCTCGACCAAGTTATTGCTTGGCCTCCCCTCTTTCTTTTCCAACCGCACCCTCGGCGCACAAACAATGCACGTCGCGGGAGTCGGTGTGCTGGCATGCGCAACACGTCACCCAACCATCGGAGCCTTGTGCATGATATAATGATCCTGAGCGATTCACTAGCTCCTCCTGCACCAAACACGCGACACCAAACGTGCTCTTTACTCACGCGGTCCTCCCACCAAACACGAGCTAAGCTGCGAAGGCAGCGATGATCGGCTGTGAGGAGTCTCTTTATGTTTGTCGACCTGATGGGCCAGATTTCACAACCGTATAATAGGGTTGAACGGACGGCTGCGTTATAAACTCTGCCTTTCAGGGCAGGAGTAATGTTGCGTCTACGCCACGGGTGGAGGAGATTGGCAAAAGCACCTCGAGCTTTTGCTATACGGTTCGTAATCTCATCTTCGATTCCACGGGTGCTAATATAGCTGCCCAGGTACTTGCATTTCTGAACGACTTTTAGCTGACCACCACAAAGCGTTAGCGCAGGGATGAGTCCCTGCAAATCTTGGAGAAGTACTTTGCATTTCGACGGAGCAAAGCATAGTCCAGTACGATAGGCAGCCAGTGTTTATCGGTCCAGTGCTGCTTTGCATGTTTGGGAGCTGTCACATATGAGGACAATGTCGTCCGTATACTCCAGGTCAAGAAGTCGCTCACCAGGAAATAGTTGCACACCTTCTAGGTCGTGTCCAGCGAACGTTGTTTCCATGACAATCAATAGCGAAGTTAAAGGGGGAAGGTGACAGCGGGCAACTTTGTCTCACACCTTTGGAGATATTGAAGGACGTCCACAGTTTGCCATAAATCCTCACTCTGCCCGTAATATGCGCGTACAGAGCTTTGATAAGGTTTACATATTTATCGAGCACGCCTTTTCTCATCAGACCGTCCCAAAAGGCACATCAATCCACCGAATCGAGGGTACCTTTGATGTCGATAAACACGACAACGCCGATAAACATGACGGTGCTCCAACAATTGATGCAAAGTGAAGATGTGGTCGATGCAGCCTCGATTTCGAGAAAACCCGGCTTGCTCTTCACCGATCTGAACTTCACGAACCCCAATCAGTCTGTGGAGAACGACCAAGGCAAATAAATTAGTGGTAATTGAGATCAGACTTATCCCTCTATAATTGCCGCCTTCCGAACTGGAGCCTCCCTTGAAAGTTGCGACAATGACGGGGCGACTCCAGTCTGTCGGGATAGTTTCTTGCTCCCAAAATTCCATTAGAAGTCGTGTAAATCATACACAAGAGCAAACCCCCCGAATTTATAGAGCTGGGGGAATTCTACATGCATCAGTGGCCTTATGCAATTTCAACAGTCTGATATCGCGGTCGAATTCTGCGCGTGAGGGTGGATCTAAGAAAATGGCCCTTGGAGAAGGGCACTCAATGCCAGGAAGAGAGAGGTAATTTATATTGCATAAACTGCCTTGCAAAGTGTTCGGCCCAACGCTCCAACCGTTTTGACAACCTGTGGATCGGCTGTCCACTCGCGTCCTGTATAGTTTTGCTAACACAATGTCCCCTGCTGCCTACTTCCCGTATCAGACGGCATAACTTATCATGATTACCAGCGGCAGGGGCTGTTTGCATATCCGATGCACGATGAGACCACCAGGCTTCTCTTCAGGCCAGCACACAGTTTTGCCTGAGATTTTTACGAGTTTCATTGCATTCGCTTCCAGCCGGAATACGTCGACGAGCATCCATAAGCTCCAGAAACTTTGCAGAGACCCAAGGTCTAGGTTGGCAATTTGATTTGCCATATGAATACATGCCTGCAGAGAGTAACATTTGACAAATATGGGACCAGTGACGTACTTTGACACGCATTCAGAACGCATGGCTTCGCCAGCTGGCCCGTGTCAGTGACCTCAGAGCGACGTTGCGGACGTTCGCCGAAATGCACACGCCGGTCAGCAAACACAAGAGTATGATCGGAGTCCATGCTGGTGCTCCAGATCGAGCCTTGTCTTTAAAACAAGGCGACAAGCACGTACCCACGGATTACAGCTCGGCGCGTTTGACGACGGTTCCGGCCAAACTGTTAGAGAGTGATAAAAGATTGGCTTGTGAGGCATTTGGACACATTTGATTTCCTCAGTTCACTGCAACACATTGTTCTCAAAGGCTATTCCTGCCGGTGCAATTTACTGATGGCACGAGAACGGTGGGCGAACTTCGTAGACCAGGGTGAGGCTGTGGCGGCTCTTATCACAGACTTTACTGAAGCATTTCGGTTGCCTCCAAACCTCACGAGTATCATTCAGTTCGTGAGAAGTTTAGAGGCAACCGAAATAAGGCTAACGCTCACCTGAACATGGACACGACGGTTGACAGTTGCCGGTCCGAATGCACTTTTTCAGTGTCCTGATTTGTGTTAAATAGAGAAGCGATTCCATTCAACACAGAGTGACCACCATCCTTCAGCAAAGATGGGGGAAGTTCCTCGGGTTCAGGAGCCTTGTTCCGTTTCAACACAGTGTGCTGATGTCGATTCTCTTCCTAAGTGGGAGGTATGGCATCTACTTCCCCCGTCGGCTCAGGCGATTCGGCTAGCCGCAGTGTCGCAGCAGGCATGCTGAACTGTACTTCAAAATGTTCCGCCCGACAGTCTAGTCGAACAGGCTGATAATGAATCAGTTGTCCAACTTTCTCAGCTATTGATCACACATTTACTTTTCGCTGTGTTGGAGCAGAGACACATATACAGACGATAGATTATGATGGTTTTCCTTGACTTGAAAGCCGCCTTGGACTCTGTAGACGGCGCCAGCTTATAGCGTTGCCCATCCATGAAGGACGTGCCAGCTAAATTGCTTTCAGTTCTAAACTTTCGCTACCGTGATTCCGAACGCCGTGAAAGGATCGATGGGATACTCTCTCCTGAGTCCCCCACGACAAGTCGGCTTCGCCAGGGTTGTCGTATATCTCCTTTCCTCTTCAACTTTGCGATCGAAATGCGTATGGATGACCCGGTTCTTTCAGAGTATTCTGAAGTGATAGTTGTGCCACGCGACCGACTGCCAAACGTTGTGTATGCGGACGACATAGCTCTTCTCGTGTCTGGCGCAGTTGCTATGCAAACACCATTGGATAGACTGGTACATAGCGCCGCACGCTTCGGCATGTGCTTTGCACGTTCAAAGTGCAAAGTACTACTTCAGCACTGGACTGACCCATCTCGGGTCCAGTTATCACCGAAAGCCACTGAAAGTCCTGCATCGGTTCACTTATATTGGTAGCTGTGTCAACTCTGATGGTCGCATCACTGAGAAAATTACTTCGCATTTCATGAAGGCCCGTTTGGCTTACCAGAGACTCAATCATCTCTGGAGATGGCGGGATCTCAGCCTGTCAGTGAAAGGTAGGATGTATAACGTTGCAAAATTGCCTGCGTTACCGTATAAATTAGAAACCTGGCAAGTTCACAGCGGAGACATTCAACGCTTGGTCGGGTTTCACCACCGGTGCTTGCGGAATATTTCTCACGCTTATTGGGCACACGGAGTGAGCAGTGCTGAGGTCTGCCAGTTGGTTTTTGGCAAGAAACCTTCTGGTGCCTCACTCTAGTGATTGCTGAATCTTGACCATTTACATTAGCCGGTTCATATCCTCCGTATGCCCATTTACCGGATGTTTGATATCCATTATGCGTCGCTGCTGCACCGTTGGGCGAAACCATGAGGTTACCAGTCGATGCCATATCATAGGGTCACGAAGAAGCTAACCGAGAGACTTGGTCAAGCTGGTGCACGCCGACCCTGTGGATGGGGACGTCGGGATGGTTCATGCGAATGGTTGGAGACGGTTAGACATGGTGTAGTCAGTAGCTTTCCTGCATCAGATTTTTGCGTCTGCGTGTTAATTTCCATTCCATCCTGATTACTTTTGCACTTTTACATTATTCCTTTGTATTCTGTTTTTATGCGGCCTTGTTTTTTCGCCGTTACTCGTTATTGCACTTCAGGCGATGTGAGTCGTGGCGACTCGATCCACCGCACTTCATTGTGCGGATCAGAATTGTTTAACTGGACTGATCTGGAATCACCTTGTTTTCGTTTACGTACACTCGCCGCGATTAAGCTCTGTGTCAGGGTTAAATCCTAATTCACCTTCAACATACTTCCGCGTCGTCCTGACCAATCATTAATTGACAATTCGAAGATGGGTGAGCCATTCGAATTCCTGATGTCCATTTATTTATAAATAAATAAATAAATAAATAAATATTTTATTCTCGACTTATTGACTTGTATGTCCGCTAAGCGGACGGAACACGTGCCCGATTTTCATTTGGTCTCACTTGTCGCTCTGTTTGCCTATCTCCCCCACTTTTATAGCCACCACAATCGCGATTGATGCGACTCATCCACAGCTCTCTGGTTCTGGTCAACTAGCGTGCATTCCCAGTGTCTTCTCCATATACTCAAGCCAGCCTAAATTGGCCGACAGTACACGTGGCACTAAAGGTTTCTCTCCAGCTAACCTCAGCCGGATTCTCGCTATGCCCATAGATGTCAACGAGTTATCGAACCGTTCGTTGTACGGACAAGCTCTCGATTTGGTTGATGTCATGTTGCCTTAACTCGCTTCTGTACGAGTACTCATGTAAATAATAAACGATGTTTTTTCACGCGGTGTTCTGGAATTACTTCTGAGCAATCTTTTCGCGTTATTCATTTGGTTCATGAGTCTGTTTTCTGCAGCGAATATTAACCTCGTTCTTTATTTCCATAGATAAGTGTGTCGCACTTTGGTTGTCAGACGAATCGATCCAATGATACTTTCTATTTCAGAGCTCACGTTTACTGTATAACAAATTTCGGTACTCCACTTGGGCTCAAATAGCACAGCTGTGGTGTCTAACCGTTTTGCCTATAGGAGAAGGTTCTTGTTAATGAGAAGATTGTTGCTTCAACTCTACTCTTAATCCTAGAAGCATACAATGGTAGAAAGTTAATCCTTCAGTGCTGCTTGGATGTCTTGCGGTTGCTTTTACGCACCTACCTGTGGCTAGTTGCACTTAGAAATTCACATCTCACGTGGGTTTCGCTACGCGCCTCAGAGCAAATCGTTTGAATGCATCCTCTCAAAGTCGTGTGGTGATACTTTCATAGCTCTTATATCCAGCATAGGATTTGTGATTCTGTGTACATATGTCTTGTCTATTACAGTGATGTTCCGATAGCCTTTCATTTTCTGTCCGGCCGAATTTGACGCGTGTGATCTGGGTCTAACCCCTGTACGTTGAGAGCCCTGTTAGCATGCTGCCTATTGGAGGTTGAGCCTTTCTTACTAATCTGTTCGTCCAGTTGAATTCACACAACCATGTCTGTTTCTCCCTGGTATCTGGTTTCAGGTGACATCAAAGCCTCTGTTTTACCAAGGTCTGAAACTAAAAGTACTCAGACTGGTACTGGACTTTCTCGGAATCGGCTTGTAGTTGTCTTGCGTCACAAAACGACTGCTCGCTCGCTCAGATGTGTAGATGAGCTTGATCACACAACACCTATTATAATTGACTGGCAGGTCATTTCGAAGCGATCGTCGTGCGATTGGATTGCGACGTACAATCCCAATGTGGACGATGATTCGCATTGAAGTGAACTTTGGTCCCTTCGAGCACTTGGACCGTAACAGAAGCAGGTGGAATTTGGGTGCTGCCCACCTGGAAACACTGCACAGCACGACGCGTTTCGATCTTGTTTGAGCTCCTTAGGTGGAGATAGCAGGCATTGAACCCGTGACCGCCGGGATGTTAGTTTTGACCACTAGCTCTCAGCCACCAAGTTACGACGCTCAACGCTTGGCACAACGGTTACTGATAGTTTTGGAGGGTCATTTAGAAGCATTCGTTGTGTGTGGATGGATTGCGACGTGCAACTTCAATGTGGATCGCGATTTGCAATGAAATGAACCTCGGCCGATTCCATCACTGGGACCGTAATTGATGAAGCCGGTGTTGCCCGCTCGGACACGCTGTATTCCACCATACGTTTCGACCATATTTGATCTCCTTAAGTAGAGATATCAGGCACCGAACCTCGGATGCCTGGGATGCTAGTTGGGACCGCTAGCCCAACCCGGTAGCCATACTAGTATAGAGTCACGCCCATATTCCAATGGTCCCGGCTTCTATGCCTGCCATCTCCATCTGAGGAAATTAGCTAATTTCGAAACGCGTCATGAAGTGCGGTGTTTTCAAGTGCGCAACACCCAATGTTCACCTTTCGCTTGCGCGTAACGGTACTGAGTCCACCTCCCAACCTGCGCTTCATGTTACATGCTATTGAAGGGCTGTACTTGAGCTTATCTGCCGAGACAAATACAAGTTGCATTCAAATGCCCCACGGAGCCCCACTGCTTTAGGTACGGACACCTTGTTGCCATGCGACTCCCACTAACAACCGTGCACGATCTATTCAAACTGCGAGGTTGCGCGCACCTGCGTGAGCTTGAACCAATCACCTTTGGACTTCAAGTCAAACACTTGGATCACGACTGGTCCACTGAGTTCAGCGCTGGATCGTGGACTCGACGCTGGTAAAGTGAACAGGTACAGTACATTTCGCGACGTGCATCCTTTAGAACCCAAATTTCGCAATTCAATCAGCCTATGGCTGCGATAACATGGTTTCCCATATTCCCGACTAAGACCTTTCTGCAGCTTAGCCCCTCAACTCTCCACTCATTTCATCATGCCTCTGAGGACCTATGAACGTTCTTATCACCAGGATAGTGCTTTTGAACTGAACCGTTAACACAATTTTCATGTACCTTAGAATTGATCTCATTGCTGGCAGTGTCGTAATGGAATGCCGCTACGTGGCACCGCCATTCAAATGACGAAACCTCTGCGGATAGATCACATAGCTCAACCCAACGCCTGCAATGTCGCTGTATTAAACTCCTACTGCTTGTTGTTTCCGAACGTCATCCACTTGTTTCATCAGTTTCAATCACACGTCACATCTCCCCGTTCTTCTTTTTAGCCACTGACGTCGTTTCGTAGTATGCATCTGAAACAAGGTGAGTTTTATATTGTCGGACACAATCTCCACTGAGTAATCACAATTTCCTCTGACTATTCCACCATCATCTACTTGTCTACAAAATATGGAGTAAACATTTAGATTGGTTTATGTTTGATGAACCACTGGGGCCCGTTGACTTCTTGTGCGCTCCGTAGGTGGCCTGTGCATGGGTGATCGAACGAATGAAATTATGCATCTAGCATTTGTTTTCGCGTGACATATCCATTTCGGATGTACGCGATGGGAATGTTTACGGGGTGCCGACGTTTTGCGTTGCACACATGGACATTGGTTTTCTGACCGGGTTCCCTTGACATGATGACTGTTTATCTAAACTTCATGTTATCGAATTATGACTCAGCACCTTGTGAACGACAATTCGATTAAGATCGGTCAACGTGTAAACCAAATCTTGACTGATCCACGATAGTATCTCATTACTTAGAGGGTGATAAGTAACGTACAAACCTCAACGAATTCCAAACAATACGATAGCAGAATGGAGCACACAGGGCGAACGTGTCGGAAACAACGCGTGGACACGAGCGCCCACATTCAAGGTCTAGAAGACACTCGAGGTCCAGTGCAGCGCCAACGGTCATCAAAGCAGTACTAAGAGAGTGAATGCGACGCGGTGAATCACCGAATCATGATCAATCGACGAACGCCACGGTAGATCAGGAGAAAGGTTCTGGGAATCACATGAAATGTCTGACTCTGGAGTGTCTGTAACTGTGGGCGTGTGTGAACAAGCATGGCGCTGCAAAACTGGAACGTTGGGAAACGGGGTGAACGAGTGGGACAATACTTCTCAGCCAGTTGATTCCATAGCGCTTTCAAATTCCTCCTGAAGGAAATCATGTTCCTCCGTAGATCTCTCAAGATGGGTCACAACGCTTGTTAGTTGTTTCCAACGGACACAGACAGTCCTAAAAATATATACTGCTACTTGGGTCATCATCATCATCATCAACAGCAGTACATCAGCCATTTGAACTGATGCTTCGCTGCCATACAACCATGAGGACCTATGAAATAAAGAATAAGAAGAGGGAGAGAAGGGGGACTTACCTGAAAACCGTAATGCCCTAAGCAAACATTCAGGGTCAAGGCGCCTACACCTTGTGTAGACAACATACCGTCACAAACAGCTGGCTATCGTGCAAAGATAAGGCGGCATCGGCGAGACAGCTTCCTTGCGGCTTTCACTGCTGCGCGTCATAATCAGCCATTACCCCGCAGATAACTCAGCACCAAACACACTTTAAACAGACAATCCGATTAGGAGACGGCAGCAGACGCGCCACTGGTGTCGGTTGCGAGCCATGTCCTGTAAAGTCTCGAGCCAAGCACAAGGTGAGTCACGTGGACTCCAACCCGGAAGGCGAGACGGACCAACGGCACCCAGTTTGGTCATCAGTGACTTCATTTCCCGCTGCCAAGTCAACTTCTGTCCACCTCGAGCCTTGCGCCATTCTACACCTGGTAGACTGAACAAGGCCCTCCTGGGTAAGCGGTGACCAGGCATGCGTAGCACGTGCCCGAGCCAACGCAACTTATTCAGTGCTATATGTTTCTAGGGAGCTAGCATGATCATCATCACCTAGTACTCGCCTCCGCACATCATCGTTGCGGATACGCTGGTGCCATCCGACACCAGCAATGCTTCGCAAACAACGATGATCAAAGACTTGAAGGCGCCTCAGATTTTCAGACCGAAGGGGCCAAGTTTCACTACCATAGAGCAGAACGGCCCTCACTGTGTCCTTGTATACACGGCCTTTCAGATAGAGGGAAACTCCCTTCTGTCGCCAAAGATGACGCAGGTTCAAGAAGGCAGCTCTGGCCTTTGCAATGCGTGAGCTGACGTCAGTTTCTATGTGCCCATCATTGCTGATGCAGCTGCCAAGATAAGTGAATTGATCAACCACCTCGAGTTCCTCGTTAGCAAGCGTCAAAGGGTCATCGAGTGGCTGGTGGTCCTGCAGCAACACCTTGCACTTTGAAGGTGCGAAGTGCATACCAAATAATGGGACCACTCTGGACAGGCTATTCAGGGTTGATTGTGCCACCCCAACATCGTCGAAAAGCAACACGATATCGTCCGCATAATCTAGATCAACTAACCGTTCACCAGGCAGCACTTCAACGCCTACATCGTGAGATTCCGCAAGGGAACACTCCATGATAGAATCCACGACGAAATTGAACAAAAACGGGGAAATCATACAACCCTGTCGAACGCCACTTGTAGTCGAAAAGCTATCCGATAGGGCACCATAGACCCTGACGCGGCCTCTAGTGTTCGAGTATAGAGCACGAAGGATGTTCACATATTTCGTGGGAACACCTTTTCGCGCAAGTAATTCGAACATAATCGATCGATTGACTGAATCGAACGCACTCTTGAAATCGAAGAACACAGCTATTGTCGGTCTGCGGTATGCGTGGCGCTGCTCTAGCACCTGCCGCAAAGTAAGTATATGATCTATACAGCCATGGCCTGGGCGAAAACCGGCCTGCTCTTCCCTAATCCGAGATTCCCGTTCTGCAGTGAGACGACGAACGATAATCGAGGCCAGTAATTTTGTCACAACTGGCGTTGGGCTAATACCCCTGTGGTTCGCACAGTCTGTGCGACTGCCCTTTTTGTATATTGCCACTATAATCGATACGCTCCATTTAGCCGGCACACTCTCTTCCTTCCAGATACTTTCGAATAGGGAGGTCAGTGCTTTGCAGAGGACCTCACTTCCATCCTTAAATAGTGCAGGTGGGAGGGAATCCGGGCCAGCGGCACGAAAACGATTGAGGGCTGTGATCGCGTTTCGGACCTCGGCCTCCGACGGAGGCTCTAAACTAACCATCCATAGCTCGTCCTGCATCACCTGAGTAGGAAGAGGTCCGGGAGCAGGGGGCCAGCTGAACTGATGTTCAAAGTGTTCAGCCCAACGAGCCATATGGCGCTCCTTATTGTGTATCAGCGCACCCGCGCTGTCCCTGGTTGTCTCACTGACGCCTGGTTTTCTGGGACCAGTGGTGCGTATTAGCTGGAAGATCTTGTGGTAATTGCCTACTGCTCCTGCCTCCTCCATTTCTTGAGCCCGACTGGTCCACCAGGCTTCCTTGTCAGCACGTAGGGTCCGCTTTAGTTCACGCCTAATAGCCCGTCTGGTTACATTGTGTTCAGAACCAGCCGGGAGGTGCCTTCTAGCTTCCAACAGGTTCACCGACCTCTCGGATATCCAGTGACTGGTGCGGAGACGACTGATAGTGCCACAAACAGATGCTCCTGCGTCGTGCATAGCGGCCGAGATCCTATTCCACTGAAGTTCAGTGTCATTAGGACAAGACAGCGAGAGTTCGCTATGCAGTGCTTCTTGATAGGCTTGCCTGGCCGAGGGCTGGGGCAATTTCTCCGTTGTCAATCGGGGGAGACGCTTTGTGCGCCTTCCGGTAAAGTTCATGGAGAAACGACAGCGCACCAAGGCATGATCAGAATCGACACAGGTACTCCAGTACGAGCGGCAATCCAGAATGGAACCGCGCCACCTGTAACTTATGGCTATGTGGTCAATTTGGGTCCATCGCTGGCCAGCTACAGGTGGACGCCAAGTGGCACTTCGGCGCCCACTGTGTCTAAAAGCAGTGCTAGTAAGAAACAACTGGTGCTCCGCACACAGTTACAGCAGACGCTCGCCATTGTCAGTCCGTTCGGAGTTAAGTCCATACTTACCACCCATCTGAGCTTCTGAAGAGCTCAGACGCCCTACTTGTGCGTTCATATCCCCTGCAAGTACTATAATATCTGAACTAGTAGCAGTGCGTAGTAGCGTGTTCAGTTCGTGATAGAAAGTGTCCTTGACTGCATTAGAACTGCAGTCGGTGGGAGCATAAGCAGAAATCACAAACAAACAGCGTTTTCTTTTACTTCGCGAATTCACCTTAGCTGATGTCGTCAAACGGGCTGCACATAAACGGCTGTTCACCGGAATCCAATCAACCAACGATGACTCAGCCTTGGAGCTGAGAATGATGCCTATAAAAGCTTGACCCGTGAGTGCCGCATCGGCGTCTCCGGGTGCGTGCAACCAATAGCGAGAGGATAAACCGGGTGCAGTCAATTCAATAACCCCGTTAGGGTCATTACTCCTAGTTTCGGACACACAACACACATCAACACCCAGTGTGTCCAAGGTGCGTGCGAGTGCAGCCTGCTGACCTGTTTGTCTTAGAGTGCGGACGTTGAATGTCGCCATGGAAACGGGACAGCGTGGCCTTATAAGGGACTTTTGCCGATAGGCGTCCGATAGGTGCTGTGGGATGGTGGCTGCAGACGGTACTACTCCAGTAGCACTTCGGTTGCTGTCAATTAAGCTGGGAATTATAGAAGGAAGGTTAGTAATGGGGATCGGGATGGGAGTAAGAGAAAAAGGTGGGAAAGAAAGAAGGGAGGCGCCAGCAGTAGCATGTTTTCGCTTATCCGCCCTGCTGTATGCAGCAGATAAGGCGACCCTTGATAATCTGCGCGACGGCCGATGCAGGATGAAGTTTATGTTTGAAGAAAATGTCATGGTTGTATGTGGACTGGGATACTGCCAGGGCGCCCAGACCTAGACATTAGAACGATTAGGGTCCTCATCCAAAGCCTTTGGCTCAAAAGCCTGTCCGCAAGGCAGCGGGGTGGCAGTGATTTAGTTTTACAGAAATGGACGCCATCCCATTTCAAACCCCCAACCTGGAGGACCAGGAGACTGAGTTCGTCTGACCTCTCACCATTGATCAACCTGGTAGGAGTAGGTCTCAAGATGCTCGGAGGCATCACCCAGTATAGCTCAATGGGTCAATGAGGTACGCAAACCGTCGCACCACGTTAAGGTCCAGTCTCGTTGCGACAGGTTGCTACTTGGGTGCCTAATCTCAAATCAGCCGATAGTATAACAGATAAGTACGCAAGATAGGGTGTTATTGGTAGTGTTCGGTGTGGTTCACTGTATAGATCGTAGCATTTAATGGCGTTTGTGCCCACTGAATGCAACTTGAGTTGCTTATGGAGGAACATGGTTTCCTTAGAGGCATTTGCTAACGCTATGGAATCATTTGGCTGAGAAAAGGTGTAGTTGTGTGTGTGGGGTCGTCGATGACTCAAATCCGCTCAAACAGGACTTGACAAAGCTAGCCAGACGTGTCCAGATAGTTGTTCATCATATACCATCCTTAGAAAGTATTGTACACGCATTCATTCTCCGGTGTCTGCTTATCTCGAACTGGTCTTCCTCGTTCACTTTCAGTTTATGCAGATGTTTTCTTACATTTCGCCATTATCAGGTGACCCGAAGCCAGCCATTGACCCTTCGCGTTTCACTTTGATTGGTCATCGTTTCTGTCCATATGTGGAACGAGTGCGATTGACCTTGCATTACCACCACATTGAGTAAGCACACATGTTTCTCTCCTCCTTGCTTTGCATTGATGACTCATCCTTATCCACATCACATACTTCCTGGCAGCTTAACTTGTCATCACTTTGTAAAGTTATGGTACTTTTGCGCCCTCACCGAGATTTCTTTTAGTTCCCACATGCTGTCCTCATTGTCTGATACACGATTCTTCTTTGTCTGCATTCATTACTCGTAATCAACTAGTTGGGCTTCCCTCTCCAAGTACTGTGCACGCGTTAATGTATCTACTTCTTTGTAGCTTAGTCTATAATACAACCAATGCACCTATCGAATGATCTGGTACACCTGAGCAAATGTTCTTATCCACAGTTTTATCTTGTGCGGTTCTTTTCGCCTTTCTGGTCCCTCGTATGCAATGATACAAAACATCATTTTATACGGTGACAGCTATACTACGAGCACGTTTACTGTGACTGCCACGAGCACTGAAGTCTCTTTTCCTAAAGTTTCTTGTTACAATTACTTTTCATACCAGTGTGTCGAGTAGCCCTCCAGGAAACAAGAGCAAGGTCTGGGCGGCGATCAAAATTTATTCCTAAGGAGAAACGCGGTATTCTGGTGTCTTCCGCTTATTGGCCGTCCCTTGTTACCTGGTCTGTGATGTTAGCTCCATCCACTTGGTTGGTGCCCGTTCTTCCGTTGAATCGATTGATATTTACTGAACCCACGGTTACGTCCAGTTGCTTTGTTGACACCGCTGATAGACTGCATGGTAGCGTCTGATTGGGCCTTGGTCTATTAGCTAGTTTGTTCCCCGGCTGGTTAGCTGACACAGCGTTGCGTGTTGTTAAACTGGACTCCGGAATGAGCCACCCACCCTCCATATGGCTGGGCAATCCGCATATTAGATGCCATGAACCACGATGTTCCTCGTGTGTGCTGAGCCAAACCAGTCGTATGCGCTCAGCCCCCGTTTGATTGGCCCCCGGTCCATCGTTACCGCGACAATTCCCTTTGCCCCAGGATTCAGTCACCATCACACGGCGTAGAACTTTTATTTCTCACGACGGTTCCCTTGTGTGTGTGTGTGTGTGTGTGTGTGTGTGTATGCACTTTTCACATCCACTTCCATTTGCAGCTTTGACTCAATATTCATCGCTCTAAACTCAAAGCCCGATTGGTTTTTGGACATGTATCCGACCGGTAAAGTGCCCCTTTTGCTGACTACGGATGGCAAGTCTCTGGTTGAGTCTGATGTGATTATGCGTTATGTGGACCAACTGCGTGGACCAGCCGCTTCGTTGATGTCAATTTGTGGCGAAGAGCAATTCTCCGAAGCTCTGGATCTATGTTCTAAGGTCTGTTATCGTTAAAATGCATTTTTCTTCATCTTCTCCTTCCCTTACATGCATGTCATAGGAGCGGGACTTTTACGAGTCGGATAGTTGCTTCTTCATGCTGCATTTTACCCGTGTGGAGTATGCTTCTTTTCAGTCATCCACTTGAGACACTTAACCATCATGTTTGATTAGTTGGTCACCCAACTTCCTGCACTCTCTGGTCCTTCTTTCACCCATAGCATCAGTATACTGAGATTGGCGCGCTTCCGACGCCCACTGCATCTTAATGATTTCAGATGTCCTCTCCTGCTTGACTTGATTGCATCATCCGGTGTTACTCAGGAGTAGAGATATCCTGATGTAATTTATTGGGTGCGGGGTGGTCTTCGCAGTAGTGTCCAACTCAGCTAGTTTCATACGGGTTCGGTGAAGTTAGACTGCGGTTTCGTTCAATCGGGACTCGTCAATAGCGCACATCTTTCAGTTCCATAGAGAATTTCGTCGTGGGTGACAGAAACACACCATTATGACTTAGAAACCAACTGCGGTATACTTCAGCACATCCTTCAATGTCGTACAAGTTACAAACGTCGCAGAGGACAAGGTTAGAGCAAAGAGCTTGTTACCAAATCGGCTAAGAACGACAGCGTGGAAGACTGTCAAATTTGGAAGGTGCTATGAAGAATCCTCTTCTGGTGTTCAAATAGACTCTACCCTAAACGAGTTCTAAATCACCTAAGAAACGAAATACTCATTCAGTTGTTTATCGAACTGACTAAAGTCCTTTGTCGCATTTAGGCTTAGACTTTTCTAGAGGAGTTTATTCATCGTGGTTGCTGCCATGCTGACTAAGCTTTTGTACGTCTGGAAAATTGGTAACCAGCGCTTTCCACCCATTTGGACTCGCCAGCAGCACATCTTTCTCGACTTTTCTTGGGGATCGAACCCGTGACTCAGGTGTTTGCATGTTAGCAACTCAGGTCACTGATCCCAATGTAATAGCTATGGGTTGACCTGACTGTTTGTTAACCGCATGTATTTTGTACGAACAGTCAGAGCCCAGGGTTGAACACCAAAGCCACGACTTTCTCTGTCTCTTTTCCTCATCTTCTATGTGTGTTGTATCCGGCGATACAACAAATGCGTCCTGGAACTTCGTACCGACGCTTTACTCTCACACAACAATCACTGCTTACGTACGTACAACGCTAAGTATTGGGGCAGCAGCACATTTGCTAATGACCAACTATGGTGGTTTTCTTTGTCTTGCAGTTCACCTTCGGCTCTGTTGATCGTATCAGAAAAGCTTCTTTTTAATGTATTCATCCCGGCAGCTCACAAGCTACATAGCGCAACCCTCATCCAGAAAAGCACCAGACCCGCGTTTCGTGATGTGAAGCACGTACATACTGTCCCGTACAACCCAGCTGCCAACGGCATGGTTGAGCGCACTAATCGCACGCTAAAGGAAACTATACAGACAGCACGTTTGTCCGGCAGGCAGTGGGAAGATGCTGTTTTGGAGGCTCTGTTTACTCACCGAACATCGCACCACAGAGCGACTGATCGCACGCCAGGTGAGCTGATGTTTGGCAGGAATTTGCGTACGAAATTAAACGCAGCTATTTCGGCTGCAGAAAACAACGACCCCCACCAACTGGAACGTCGCCGGGGTTATCAGTCATCCTACGAAAAACGGGCCACATCGTTGCGTCCTGGAACGTTGGTCAGGATAAAGGAGAGGCAAACACGGAAAGGAGAACCGGCACTGACGAGACCCATCAGAATTACTCGTGCGCTAGGGCCAGGAACTTATGAGTTAGCAGACGGCCGACGAGTCAACGCCAGACAGCTATATTCAGCACTTCAACCGAAGCAGTGTCCTGAAGCGAGGGCCACCGCAGTGAACCAACCGCTGAAGAGGGGGAGTAGTGTGGCAGCGCGTACGCGCGGGCCTTACCACGACCGCACTTCGTAGCTTGTGATTGGATGCCCGTCCGTTCGCGATCAATACCAGGGTTGTTTTGAATGTACTGAGTGTATGTACCGTTGGCGTGAATAGAAGTTTGTGTTGCGTACCAGTAGAGTTCTGCTTCCTCGTTCGGGGCTTTGGTCGTGCTTGTTCAAGACCCTGCGTGCAGGGGACTAGTGTACGTGTAGACACAACACGCCCTATTGGGGCTCTTCATTGGTGCCCATCCTTCGGTCTCCTACTGGAGATCGAACCCAGAACCACTAGAGGCTGACGCCAAATAGCCAGCAACTTAAGCCACTGAGCCATGGGGGACGGTGGTTGGGCTGCATAATTTGCAAGCTAACTGGGGTATAGCTCCACCTATCTTCCTCTACCATGCAGGTTATTATCTTTGCAAATGACAGCGGCTAGCCTCCGAGGTCATGACTTCTCTCACTGGACGCATGTCCATAGCATTTGAAACTAGGAAATCTGCATTTTATATTACTTATGAGTAGGATGCTTAGAGTTGTACTTTTTAATGTATTCATCCCAGTATCTCATAAGCTACAATGCTTAATCACGATCTAGAAAAGCACCAGACGCTTTTCGCCCTATCGGGGCTCCTACTGGGCATCGCAACCATGGGCACTAGAGGCTGACACCAACTGGCTAGCAGCATAAGCCTCTAAGTCATGGGGACAGTGGTTGGCCTAAATAATTTGCAAGCTACTTTGATATGGCATGAGTAGCATAGAATGTGTCCCACTTATTTTCAACCGCTATGGACATAGCGTCTAGTGGGAGGAAATCATGGCTACTGTCTTCTGCACTGGTAGGGACCTGCGTTGCAGTGGAAGACAAGTCGTGCTATATCCCAGTTAGCTTACTATTGTGTAGCTCAAGCACCGTCCCCATGACTCAGGGGTTTAAGGTGCTGGCTACCTGGCGTCAGCCTCTGGCGGCCATGGCTTCGCTCCCCAGTAAGGAACCGAAGGATGCGCCCCAGTATGGCGAAATATGTGTCTGGTGCTTTACCTAATTAATAATAATCGTAATAATGTTGTGTCAGCTGTATGCTGTAGAGACGCTTCGCTGCCGCGGGACTACCAGCATTTGCACGCGGGCTGAGTATATCACGAGGACGCCCACTCCTGCGCGGACTCGAACCGGTGATCTCACGATTGCAAGCCAGGTGTGCAGACCACTCGGCCACCAGCCGACGGTGTGGCGGTTGTGCTATCCAGCTTGTGAGCTGCTGGGACAATACATTAAAATTACAACTGAAATCCTCCTACTCATGAGTAAAGTTGTTTATGCTTTGAGGTCTTCACCTCGAGTCCTGAATTTTGTGATGGTCTACTGGAAGCTGTATCCAACGTTCTCCAGTAAAATTGAGGTGCACCAAAGCTATTCTATGTCCACCCTTCTTTTCATCTTTGTGAACATACATTAGCATGTCTCCTCAGCCACTTTGCGGTGAAAGTTTGCTAGGTGATCGACTGACAAGCCTTGAGTATACGGATGCGGACACAAGAACTATTGGAATACGCTAACTCGTAGCGCTGCACTCTTCAGCATCAGCTTTGCACCTTTTCAGTGGATACATTAAACGCTTGGCCATGCTTGATCATTGGGGCTTACGGAGTATTGCTGTTATCTGCTGGAAACACCGAGTGAGGTCTGCCAGTTGATTTTTGCCGAGATAACCTCGAATCAATGATTCATTCACTACAATAACGTTACCATGTGTATGTGTTTCGGAGATAAACCACACCTTAATTCAAAGAGAATCTTGAGTGTGAGTTAGCGGTGCTACCTGGCCTATTTGATGTTTATCGTGGAATTTGTAGGGACAGGGGAAATGGCACCATCGATCTAACTACGAAGTTAGCTACATCGTTATCATCAGTTCCGAATATAATGCCGTTAAGCTAGGAAGAAGAGACACGAAGTCAAATCCAAATAATGCAACAGGACAACGTCTCGTGAACGCTTGGTACACTCTGGGTACCTACACAGAAGGGGACTTTTGTTTAAATTGCCCCACCTTCAGCACTTGGCTCAACAGTCCGATTGTTAGTGTAGCGGGCTTCGTGTATGTTTACTCGCGAATCTCTACACATGGTCTTTTACTCAGCAGTCTGGCTCACAAACAATGGGGAACGGGTCCAGCTTGGGAGCGTGACTACCGAGATCCGGTAGGATCTACTCGCAACCGGCTAAAATTCGTTTATGTTTTCAACCTTACCAGCGGATATGTCTGTGACCATGGCCAGCGGCAAGCTATTTTTGGCGGTGTGCCATTGCAGTAACCCCGTACCGTGCGCGACTGATGGGGGATGCGCGACAGCCAACCTTCAGTGCAACGTACCTGGGTGTTGCAATGCCTTTTTTGAGGAGTCTACATCGTAGTGATCGGCGGCTGAGCAGGGGTGATGTTAGGCTTTGGTCTGAGAAAATGTGTGGCACTCCTGTTCTACCCCGTATACCCTTACCTCTCTCCCATGACTAACTTTTGGGGAAATAAGACCACCAACATCATCCCGATCTCTGGCGAGGATGATACTGAGCTTGTCCAACATTTAACCTTTGACCTGCCGAGTATTAACCCTGAACGTACGTGTAAGGCGTCACCCAGCGTAGCCCAACTCATCATCCAGCTAAATATACAATCGCATCATGTTAACGTCTGTTCTCCTTGCGATAGTATCATAGTTATTTCCCTGTTCGTTGACTATTGTCTCAGCCCCAATCGTTAGTTCTCGAGAGGTTTTCCCACCACATTCACCAGGCGACACGTGCTCTCTGTTCTGTCACCTTCAACTCAATCGAGTGTTTGCGCGAAATCAGCGTTGCACCAGACTCATACGTCCTGTTGTGCACGTTTGTCGGAAACTTCCACGGATACCCTTTGTAGCCACCCTGTTTCCACTTTCGTGATGGCCCGAATCTTTTCCACTTTCAGCTTGGTGCTCCTTCCTATCGAATCGCATTTGGCCGTGCGGTAGACTCTGATGAACACGACTATCGACAGGCTCTTCACGCGCTGAACGATCGCATCAAAGGACCTTATTTCATGGGTACGCTTTTCTTTGGTTTGCTTGTGATAGTCCCTTTAATAAGAGGGATTCCGTGGTACACGCAGAAGGAATTAGGCGTGTCACCATTGAAGATTTGTTAGCGCATTGCATATTCGCCTTTAGACCTTTCAGTTGATTGGAACCCATTATCCTCGGTTTTATCGAAATTGCCGTGAACAGTACGGTCTCAACTCTCTAAGCCGTGTACTGCATATTTCTACAGGTTGCTTTTCCTCGTGGTTTCGTCTGACCAAAAGATGCGATAGTCTAGATTTACTGTCATCTATGACGACGTCATGCACAGAGGTCAGCGAGTTAAATCTGAAAGATCACCCCCATCATGCGACATCTGTAACATCTGACAGGAGAGCTTTGCAGATAATCGCGGCCGGACCCATTTTGTTCTGACAAATTACCCAGACCATCATGAATCTACGCAATCTATCTGTTCATGAATATACAGTGTCCATGGGCTGGATTATCCAAACATCAATCACTAATGCAACTCTCTCTCCTCCCCAATCTGTCGTCCAATTTTTTCCAGGACCGGAACTTTCGCTCGCTGATTTGGTTCTTCTCCCTCACCTCAATCGTGTGGAAACTACGTTGGCTTTTGCTGCTGGACTAGAACCAAGTAAAGTAACAGATTTCGAGCGAGACGACGCTAGACTTGCCGACTATCCTAAACTGTTGGCATACATTTTGAACTTACGACAGCAATCGTTCGTGTCGGAGGTTCGCGAACCGAGTCAAGTGTTGGCCAAGTTCGGCGCTACAATCCGCGCTGGCAATCCAAACCCCGATCTTTAATTTCCTACATTATGTTTTGGCTTTGCACTTAATTTGCTTACTCTTTTATAACTGCGCTTTTTGATTTTCGTGTTTGCATTCTGTTTCTATGAGTTTTGAATGTAGACTGTATTCCGCAGGTGCTTTTGTGATTGTGAGCAAATCCTCCAATTCATAACCTCAATTTTCGTTGATTTCCCCACATTAAAACGATTGGCAATTATGTGACTGCATCCGAATCTGTTCTGTTATTTACCAGGTCGATTTTTTGATGTTATGTTATTGTTTGACTTACCATGAAAACTGGCTGTTGTAATGTGGCCGTAAGCTCAACTGAGAAACGTCTCTACTAAGTCCTTGATCATAAATCTGAACGTAGTTGCCAGGCCTTCTATTGATAAAATAGTCCTGATGTTACGGTGGCTGAGATACTGCCGGTGCACCAATACACAGAGAGGAGAACGATTAGGGGGCCTTTGTCTCAAAATCCTGTTCACGATGCAGCGAGTTGGCAACGATTCGGTATTACAGCAATGCACGCAATCGTAGTTGCAAACCCTAACCTGGCAGACGAGAAGACGCAGTGTGTCTGACCTCTGTTCATTCACTAAACTGGTAGGAGTAGATTATATGGTTCCGACGGCACCATCCGTTATATCTCAAGGATTCGAAGATGTAAGCAACCTGTCGCAAAACCTTAAGCTTCGGACCCGTCGTCACGGAGACAATCTGTCTTGCTGTAGCTATGCACCAAAAGTCATGTTTATGTTGCGTGTATTTCTGCGCATCGGTTCGTCCATTAACGCTATAAAGTGGTGAGGCTGAAGAACCTGTGCACACCCGAGTGATTCGTGTGTGCAACTTTATCCATTTCGTCATACACAGCTGTTTTCTAATTTCAATTGGGCATGTGAACACCAGACTAGCGATGATTATTTCTAGGCCAAATGAACATATCATAGCTTCTTCTTTGATTCAGAATTACAGCTGTCATTGACGTGTCGGTGATATTTCGCGTGATTTTCATGTCTGAGTGCATCCTTTTTTGGACTAGAGATTGATTTTCCTAAGGATAACACGATGGATAGATATGCTGACATCCATAGTGGGACCGGAGTGGTCAGTGATACTTAACCGGCTGAACCCAAGTAAAGCAATCAGTCAAATACCATTTGGGGAGATTATAAGGATGTTTTTTATTTTTGATGATCCGGCGATGGTAAGCGGTGGTTGGACCACAAACTTGTACAGGTTACAGTGTGGGATGCATGGTGTTTGCAATCGGAGAAGTGGCCTCAACACGAGGGAAGTAACCTAGATGTACAACGTGATTGATCATGATGAGGTTGACTCGCAACTGACGATAGCCGCAGTCCCAAGATCTCGCACCTGCCTCAGTACGGTAACCCGGCAAACTGGCAATGAGTCTGGTAGGCGAACCGTGCTGGAGCATTGGTTTTATGGTGAGAAAGTGTATACGAGTGACATCCTTTTCAGGCCAGATGCAGATGGTGCGTTTGAGCGCCCGGAACATGCGCAGCTTGTTTATTTTTCACGGGCTTTAAAACGCAACGTGAGGGTCTACCTAAGTCTTCCACGGAAGGTCTGCGTGTAACAATTGGCCGTCAAGGCTTTAGGTTCTGTCATCACTAGGCTATCTCAGGCTCATGAATTCCGACTTTAATGTGTTGACCGGATGGCGGACTTCTACAGACACACAGAGAGGTGGTTGAGGTCTTGCTGAAGTAGGCCGCATTTCTCGTCCGCAAACAGTAAATAAATAAATAAATATTTTATTCTCGACTATGCGAGGCAAGCCCATGGAGGCATGATCAGATATGTACAACTGTACAAACATTTTATGGCAACTGTAACAGTGACAGTAGAAAATCGTTCATATGCCCATGATTGGAACTGTAAAATGGTGAAAATGCGAAACAATAATTTGGCTGTCATGAGATACGGGACCTCAGCTAATAATATATTGAGAGTCCTGAATGATCCATTATAAGGTAATGGAAGAGCACGCTCAAGAGATGTATACCAATAGAGTGAGTTCGTGCACAAGTAAAGCAAAGGTAAACGCACAGCGACTGGGATAGATCATTGACATAAATCCGGAACATTGTAGGTCTCAGCACTGTGTCTTGGGGTACGCAACTGGTCGAGAAATACCAGTTGGTCAAATGGCTATCGACATGTATCCTCCACTCGTGCAACAATTCTCGCGGATCCACTGGTACAGTGATCCACCTCATGGTTCACCTTTTCGAACGCTTTACTGAATTATATCTAGACCAATATCTCGGAATAAGCTTGGAACCAATGAGGATTTCATGATTTCGGAAAGTTTTGTGTACAGATCTCCAAAAACCGATTTACATAAAAACCTGATATCGATGTAGACCACATTGACAGACTTCCCTTGGTTCACCGCTTGCAAGCATCTATACCTCGTCAAGAGCACAAACGATCTGGCATAGAACCGTACTGCGTGAGCGTCAAAACTATTTTCCGCAAGAGCTGTAGCAAAATCTTCCCAGCAATTTTGGCCAAAATGAGTAAATATTGACATGTATACTTTGCTGAAATTCCCGCCTTTCCCTCGAGCATTTCCAATCAATCGCCAACGAACCTACGGACATCAACTTGTAGCGTAGAACAGTCTTAGCAGGCGAGATGATGTCGGGCAAACACGTGAAGATCAAAGGTGGAGCACGTCAGGCCCAGCAAGGTTATCGAGTAGTCAACGCACTTTTTGGACACCACAACCCGGAAGGTTGAGTTCGGTAAGGGCCCGTCGAATTTCGTACATACATCTGGTCAACTGCAAACACGGATGCAAAATGTTACGCCATTGCGGACACGCCCAGTGGCGGTGGCTATGACCTATCTGTCGACCTCCTCTATCACTGATAGGTCATATGTTGACCACAAAGGCCGCTTCATTTAAGTAAATATCTTTGTAGCGGCTGCAAGCTGCTCTTAGAATTACGGACGCTTGATCCTTCTCGAAGTGTTACGAAAATTTCGTTGCTTTTGATACACCTCATAGTCGTCGACCGAGTCAGAGATAAAGACTTTTCACACAGGGTAACCCTCCGCTCAGCCAGTGTTGTAACGCTGCCCTATCTCTGCTCTATCTTGGGTGCAACCAACCTATCCAAAGAAAAAGCAGTCTAAGTGACATACTAGACAGGTGTGTATTAGGGATGAAGCATGGTTAAAATTCTGGGTACCATGCTCAACTCCGGTATGCGGTACTCGCCAGATTCACACCAGTCTGTAACATTTCACAGGCAGGTTAGTGCATAGCTTAATCAAGATAGACCATAGAACTTTCAAGTTCGTCCGTCCACACGTCAGCCGTGGATTTGCGCCCACCGCCGCGTAGCTGTCCCATTGGTCGAGCGCCGTCAGCGAATGGGAAGTCGGATGTAAGTATGAAGCCAAGCGTAAGCATGAATAAAGAGTAAATAAACTTTTCTTTCTCGAATGTTTCGAGACGCGCCGAACCAGACATGACCAAAAGTGTGTAAACATTACTGTTTCGCAAAGTTCAGGATAGATTGCATGTAGGAACATAAAAATGTAAATTGTACTTGTGAGAGGCAACGTAGTGCTGTGTTGACAATGGGGATTGAATATGTATAACAAGGACATGTGAGTGTATGCATCAGAAATTTACCATCTAACACGCAGGTTACCGTATTGGGCCCATCTTTTAGCGTGACATTTTCGAAATCGCGTGCAGTGCTTTCAAGTTAGCGAGGCTAAGAACGCTGTTTTGGCGTCGTTGACACTCTCATTGGTCATGGGACGTTAGCCAATGGGACACCGGTTGGAAGCCCGAGCATAAGCGACAGACAGTCCAATGAAAGTGGTCGAGCACCACCTTCTGTTCTGTCTTGATGCCCATCTGAAGTAAACCTCCATGATTGGTCTCCAAACTGAAACCGTCCAATGGGCAACTTGTGATGCCTGTCTAAGGAGGAGATCCTAGCTACCACATGATCCGAAGCTTACGCCGTAACCAGTGCGGACAGACATACTAACCACCACATGAAACGGTCTATACTTAGTGATCGCTAGCCGCTACCTGGTGGTGGCTTATTCAGCGGTCTAACCATGGTGGCGTAGACAGGCAATCTTCTAACTGGTATTCCGCAGTCCCTGAGGTCTGAGGGAGTCAGGCAGGCCTGCATTTGCGGTTGGTCAGGCATGCGCCGTGGCTTGGACACTGCACACCCAAACCTGAATCAGCAATGGCTGCTTGGCGGTTAGACAATTTTGTGCGATTGTTATTGCGACGACCATGGGGGACATTGTTCCCATTGAAGTTGGTAGACCAACCTGAAGCTGAACAACGAAAGTTCTATGGGTGCTTACTTCTATCACAGTTGATGACTAAACACAAACTAAGAGGATTCCAAGTGTGGCGTTGACACGACGTTAGTGAGTGTTCGTTTGTCTCCACACCCATGGGCGACTTTGTTAATCAGTTATCGCTTCAGTGTCTCCATGTATGGCGTTATTTAAGGTCATAGGAACCTATGTATTCATAGGATAATTAGGCTTTACTTCCATATGGTCGCCCATAGGTGTTGAGACGCTTTGACAAGTGGCTCTCCGAATGGCACAATTAGAAGCACAGTCAATGCAGATGGAACCTCCCTATTACGTCCATGGACTGGAATGCTATCCTCATGAACTCGGCATTACTCAACAAAGAAACACCTAATGGGGCTGCAATGACTACCGTATTTATACATGCCACCTCGTGCTGCTAGAAAAGTTCACGGCTGATAATTAGTGGCGACGCACGCATATTACTCTGGTAATTCAGGTGATTAGCTGGAACAGACAAACACTGTCGTCTCACCCACGGGCGTTCCTACAGCATGTTTGCAATCATTTACAAAGGCAACCGCGCCCACTAATCCTGCTATGGACCACTGTTTCAGCTAGTCTTAGAAGCAGTCATGTGTGCACGCCGTGACACACGTTGTTATCGACTTGGCAACTACTCGGAAACATTTTGTCATTGGAAAGTAGGTAATTCCGGAGGCATTGTTGAAGGAGGAAAATTGCTCCAAACCCTATGCTTACAATGCGTATGCAGTGCTTTTTGGCGGGTCATATCAGGGCCGTACGGTCACCTGGTATTTCAAGCTCATCAATCACATGCAAGTGAGGCGTAAATATCATGTTGAAACGCAGGATTGACATGCATCTACGACCTTTAAATAACGGCAGATCCATGGGTACTGAAGCGGTAACTGATTACCGAAGTGGTCCACAGGTGTGGAGACGAACGAACACTCACTAATGTCGTGTCACCGCCACACTAGGAACCCTCCTCTTTGGAACAATGGCTAC